ACACTTCCAGAACTTTCTGAGCAGTAAGCTAGGTCCGGGTGAGTTATCATCCTTGAAACTCTGCGCTTTCTGGTCTTAGAATCAGAGCCGAGAAGGACTTACTACAAAGTTAGAAATGGATTTTATTGGTGGAAATTGTTTGAACTTTCCACTCTTGTAAACATCCACATAATGCCATGAAAAAAGTTCATGAATATTGCATTTTTTTCCAGTTATCTGTCTATACAAGTTTCTACTTGGATGAGGTTCCTAGAGGTAATGGAGCTCAGACACTCCGTGGTGCCCTCTCAAATTCATGGGTCCTCCTGTTCCTACCTTTTTTATTTTCTTGTAGGTGCTTCCACTTATTTGTATTCACCTGCGCATTGGCAGGCCTTTGCCGGCGTTGTTTGCGGTCTCTTTTCCAAACCTGCTCACAGAACTCATCCATTGTGTTAAGATTGGGGTGATTAATTAACTGCATGAAGTCTCTATACCAGATCTTTTGACTGGGGGTCATGCTATTGGTAGCGTCCTTGATCTTGGAGGTATCACCATCTTCTTCTTTATGGAGCAGCTCTTCCAGGTGGTCAGTATCAATTACTTCCAGGGTTACTTTGAGCAAAGTTTGCATGAAACCATGCTCCACAGCATGACAGAGATAAATACCAGAGTCTCTCCGCTGAAGACTTCGTAGCAATAGGCCCTGTTCTGTCCGGATCATTCGATCATCCACTTTTATCTGCATTGGAAAAAAAGGGGTAATTTCAATAGTTACCTTTCATATACATTCAGAATTGTCCTCTAACCATACTAGTTCCTTAGTACTGTCCTTTCAGCCAGTAAAACTTGGACAAAAAGCCCAAAACCCACATGAATGGAAAACCCCTTGCCAGTCATCTGCAGTTATGGGAGGCTCAAAAACTGTATAGAAAAACTGTTGATGTGCTGCAAAGAGAGTTTGGGGCATTAAGAATTTACTCTTTAGTCCCTACTGCTGCTGAACAAAAATCTGTAGCAACTCTATCAGATGGACTTGCTTGTAAGATTACAGAAGATGCAGACCTCTAATCAGCAGAGTCAACATGGATGCATTTGGCTATATTACCAAAGTCACATTTATCATTATCTTTTAGTCAAGCCTAAATGTATATGTGGCAAAGGTGCTCTGTTGTCCTATTGTTCCTTATTATAAAAGCACTTACACATACAAGTGAGTCCTGGATAAGCGGAGAATTTACAAAGAAAAATAAGGATTAAATCTCAGAATGTTAATATTCAAAAAGCAGCTGTCCAAAATACTGTATTTTTCTGAATAAACTAATATCTAGGATTATAATTTTCTTCTTTGAATCCACATGTTGCTCTGGACAGAAAGGGCACAAATCTGTTTGCTGTTCTCTGCATCAAGAATAAATTATAAATAATTTACAATTTATGCAAATAAAGCAAACAGCAAACATATATAAAGCTGCTAATGTAACTAAGTAGTTAGCACATGCTTTAAAAAATATATAAATGTTTCAGAGCAGTTTGGCTATATTTACAAATACTTCAATGCAACAAATAAGTTCTTGCTTACTAGCTGGATTTCCCTACCTACCAGATTATTCTCTTAAAATATGTGTGACATAGCTTGATAGCAACATGACTTGAGAACCAGGGTGACTAATAGCACAAGAATGTCGGTGACAAGAGAAGGAGAAAAATAAAGTATCACATTAGTGTAATGCAGCGAAAGTCAGTGGTTTTGCCTCTATTAATATTGCTTTTGATGAAAAAAATGTACACATTTTCATACCCTTGTGTCTATTACAGTTCCCAGTTCTTCACTCTGTCTCTGTCTCGTCTGCAGAAAAGTCTTAGAGCATGGAGCACATAGGAAGTGCTCCTGTTATACTATGTTTCAGTCAAACAGTGTAATTACATGAATGCACTTGGACCTTCTTTTCAGAGACCATTTTAAGGTCTTTGTAATATTTAAGTTCATATAATCCTTGTATGATGCTTTAGATGGCACTTAGATAGCATACTAACTTTTTATATTTTTGGAATATCTAATGAAAAACCAGTGTGTTTTGCAGGGGCTCTGACCAGTGAGAGGATATGAATGTTTTCTTAAGTAACAGTCTGTAAAAACCTATTAGAGAGCTTATGGGATTTCATGGTGATAAGAGTAAGAATACGGTGAAGAGCAACAGAAATTACAAGATTTCAGGGAAATTCTGCTGAAATAAAATACAGATGGACATTATTCTTGGAAGGACTCAGGTTCAAGTATATCGTCATAGAGAAGACTAGTTGTGTCTCTTTTTTTTTTCTACTGTACCTCTTCCTTGCGGTCATCATTTTGCTTCTGGAATTGCCAGTAGACTACGGCACGCTGAGATTTTGGACTGCATTCAAGAAAAGTGCTGCTATTCTCTACTCCATAGATAATCTTTTCCTCCAGGGTCTGACCACTTGGGTTATCTGTAAAGCAAGAAAAATAAATTAAAAAAAAAAATTACCAGGGAAGAAAAATCTTAATTGCTAATGGAATTGGTTTGTTTAGAAATTGGGCTCCCTTAAGGTTTTCAAAGATTAAAACTTTAAAAGAAAAATTTCCCCATGTCCGTATGCCTTTTGGAAAATCTCCATCAACATCTTTATCTTTGTAAGCATCCGTGGTAGGGTTTTTTAAATTATTTTTGTATTTTAAATCCTAACAGCTCTTAACATCTCTATATGTGAAGTTAATGAATTTCATTGTAAAACTTTGTGTAAACCTCATTATTATTCATCAAGGAAAACATTTAGTACATAACAAGAATTTTTAATAGCAAATTGTATGCAATGAGAAAACGGAGGGTGTAGTTGCAGAATGTCTGTAATGATGCCTCCTGGGCTCTATGATCATAATACTTTAGAGCAAAGTAATAAAACATGAGGCTATTTAAAAGTAGTATAATGTGTTTAGATTATATGGGACTGCAGTTTGCTGAAGCTGTTAATGACCAGGAATAATGTTTTTGAGGAAACAATCTTCAATTAATCATTTCCTCTCATACTGATATAATTTATGGAAATGTAATGAGGTTAATAAACCAGACATTATGGGAGGGGAAAAAGAAAGTTAAATAAATTACTTCCTTTTGTAACAACAATGTTTCAAGATATTCATCAACTTGCTGGAAATATCGCATAGCTATAAGACTTATATGGCATTTGATTCTTCTCCAATACCGCAGAGGCTGTAAGGCATCGTATTTCAGCTCTCCACCTTAGCTCTTTAAAATGCTGTTATGGACTTAAGTGGCAACAGTACAGTAATCCTGGAGAGTAGATGGGGAGGAAAGGGTTGGTTAGCTATTTAAAACTGTGTTGATCTTATGGGGTTTCCTGTCTCTTTACCACTATTTGCTATTCTTTCCATTTTCCACTTTTGATCTTTAACACTGGAAATCTTTAAGGAACTTCTTTTAATATGTTTTAATGGGAAAGTAATGTCTAGTTAAAATCCTCCCAGAGAAATCCTTTGTTAAGCTTTGTTTGCTTTCTCTGTGCCTTATCATATTGGCCATGTTGCTTAGCAAACCCAAGCTGTTTGCTAGATGACTGAGCCAAAGGTAAAAATAAAATTGAGCTCCTGGTTTATGTTGATATGGCAATCGTATGTCTCTCTATAATGACTTGCAGCCCTGAGGGAGGATGGGAGAAGGGATGGTGGACAGAGTAGGAACTGGTGCTTGCCCAGTTCTCAGTAAGGAACCATCAAATGGCCTATTAACACTATACAAATAGGGAATGGGTTAGCTTGCTTTCCTCTGCTGGATTGTGAACTTTTCCAGCAAGTAAGTGGGGTGCTATATAAACAACTAAGTGAAACAACTTTCACAACATCTCTCAGAAACCACATCCCTGCGAAGAACGTCAGTACAGCTTTGGGCCAGGAAGATGGGGAGCAATGGAGGAATGAATTAGAAAGCAACGCAGCAAAAAAAAAGGTAAGACAACTGGAAGTGAATGTCGTCAAGGGTACTAGTGGTAAGGTCTGAGATGGAGCATGGGTGAATTGGTGTCAGTGAAACAGAGGATGGGAAGTATGTGAAGAGATTAACTGAACATAACTAGAAGTGATAAGATAAAGATTGGGAATGGACAAGATTGGCTGATAACTCATGGTCCACATTCAACACTGTGAGTAGCTGACTGATGTCCTGACTCTTCTGTTTGAAGTTAGGTACTCTAATTTAGGAATAGAATTCACATGGCTGAGCAAGCAGCCAAAGATCCTCATATAATCAACAAGAAACAGTTTGATATCTGAACTGGGATCCATAACAGATAGCACATGCAGGGATGCAGCATAAGAGAGTCAGTAGGAAATGTCCCCTTTTATAGCCTGGGACATGTGTTACTGCTCCAGAAATGTGTTTCCCTGAAACAAAGATTTACAGTATCCAGGAATAAAGGATGGAAACACAGGGGTTTCGCCCTAGGATATATGCCCCCAGAATCCATGAACTTTGAATCATGGTTGCACAATGGCCCAACTTCAACAAGAGCAATCCAATAGTTTGGGTGCTTGTATTGGAATTAGAGCGATCAAGTCAATCTCTTAAGCCTAAGTGGACTTTGAGTCCTCTTCTTTCTCATCCTAAATAGCTGATTTAACCAGCAGGTTACTCATTAGGTGACTTGCAGCACTGCTTGACTATATTTTCCTGAACACAGCATAGTCCAAGTGAATTATACAGAAGCAGAGCACATGTGACACTGGTCTCATTAGATCAAGGATTCTAGATTCTAAGTATCTGTACAAAGGACAAACATAGATATTTCTTTGGCAAAGGTCCTACTGCCCAAGAGCAGTAGCATATATGCAAGTATGTACAGATGTTTCTGCTGGAACACTTAGGTATGTAGGATATCCTTAGTATCTAAGAAGCTAGCTGCAAGTTTTCATGGAAATTACCTTGAAGGTGGGTGCCCTGATGCCATTTCAGACTTCTGAGTGTTTTCTTGGATCTGGTCCATAGCATTCTAGTGTGTTAGTGATCACTATGGAAAGTGGCAGAAGCCCCCTTTAAATTGCCTCACAGCTCCAGAAAATATAGTATGGGTGACAGTCATGCAATGAGAGAAGAAGGATTTAAAAGATCCTTCCAATTCCATTTCCATGATTTAAGGGAGCAGAAGGCAGGTCCAAAAATGTTTATACAGTTCATGTAATATTGAGCACGTGGAGTGCAAAAAAGTAAGCAGAGTGATGGAATAATCACAGAGTGCAGCTCTGGGACTGAGGGAAAAGCTGAAGAGACTAGAAGGAAGAATGAAAGTTTGGGAAGTTCAGAAGAGCAGCTGGAGGAATTAGTAAACCATAGAAATCATGAAGTTGGTTATGAAAGTCAACCCAAAATCCTGTCTGAGAGTTGTAATTCCCAAAATGAACCCAACCGCAGTATCAAGTTTACTGCCCTGATAAATAACCTTTAAATAAGCAATTTCTGACATAACTGAAAACGTATGAAGGCTTAAGTACTTATACCAAGATTGCTTTGCAAATGAATGAATCTCACTACACAGTTAAATTCAGAGTGATTGTCTGAGCCCTGGGCTAAATTGCCCAAAACAGGTGCCTCTTTTACAAATTCTTCAAAAGAATCATAGAATGGTTACGTTTGGAAAGGACCTTAAAGATCATTGATTTCCAACCCCCCTGCCATGGGCAGGGACACCTCCCACTAGCCCAGGTTGCTCAAAGCCTCATCCAGCCTCGCCTTGAACACCTCCAGGGATGGGGCATCCACAGCTTCTCTGGGCAACCTGGGCCAGTGCCTCACCACCCTCACAATGAAAAATTTCTTCCTAATATCTAGTCTAAATCTGCCCTCTTTCAGCTTATACCCGTTACCCATTGTCCTCTCACTACACTCCCTGATAAAGTGTTTCCCCATCTCTCCTGTAGCCCCCTTCAGGTACTGGAAGGCTGCTATTAGGTCTCCTTGGAGCCTTCTCTTCTCCAGGCTGAACAACCCCAATTGTCTCAGCCTGTCCTCATCAATCAAGAACAACTTGATTAATTTCTCGACAGCACTAGTATGTTATGGTTTTTTTTTAAAAAAATTGTTCTTTACCTGACACAAAGGTGATCATGCTTTTAGATTTAAGTATTAATGTTTGGCCAAACACCTGTACAGCTAAGGTAAGGATCCTCAGCTCCCACTAATGTTGCTGTGTAGTTTTTTTATACTACTCATACATTTGCACAAAAGGGCAACTTAAAGAGCTACCTAAACCTTATTAAAAGCATTACCGCTTCAGACTGATATCAAAGTAAGTTTATGCAATGTCTTTAAAGGTGATATATACATAAAGAGATTGTTCTTTTTCTCTTGTTTCTGTTAGTTCACATGGAGAATCAACTGGCTGTTAATGCAAAGAAATATGTAGACAAGCACTAAATGATTGCTGGAGCTTATTTTTGGCTATAGACAAACCCATTTCTTCATCTGTTGTCCAGGAAACTACTAGTCATAATGAAGGGAAAAACTCAGGATAAGTTGGCATTGAAAGCTTATGGGTCATGCAGCTGTCTGTACACATGATCATGTGTAAATGACAAGTAAATATAGGAAATTTTTATAGATTTCCAACTCAGAATTAATTTAGAGAAAATTTCTTAAGTAAAGTATTTTGACAGTGTGTCCTTAAAAGTCTAGGACCTAGAACTGCATTCTCTCAGTACTTTTTGTCAGTTACTGATTCTTTTAATCTAATCACATTGTCTTCATTGCACCATTAAGTAAAATTTTCAGTTATATTTTGTCTCATACTTGCTCTGCTCATTTTCACAAAGTTGTATTATAGCTTCTTGTGATCAGGTGCAGCAGATAATAGCTTTTTCCTGGCCTTGAGTTCTCTTTATTGTTGTAATGAAAAAACCGTGCTGAATTACTCTTTTCTCTTTTGTACAGAAAATATCTTTACAGACAAACATGTCTACCAAATATGGGAAGATATAAAAGCCAGAGTGTTTAGAATCCTTTTCTTGTCTATGAAGATGAAGAACAGACCTGCAGCTTTATAGAGCACTGCTAGCCAGGGCAAGAGAACATTAAAAAAGTGGATGTGTGGTAGCCCAGTTCATCATTTTACTCCTAAGTAAAATGTCCAGATAGTAAAAAGGCAAAGTTAAGACATGCTTCTGCTGGTCATAAAATCCACATCTACTGCCTGGTGAAATTTTCCTATTGGGGAACTGAAAATGTCATCTCAGCCCCAATAGGTGGATGGTCTCATCTGCACTGCAGAAGCATTGCTAGATATCATGTAACTGGAAACTTATGAACTTTCTACTAGATGAGCTCAAATCTAAACTAGTTGTATATTCATGAGTTCTCAACATGTGACAACTACATATTGATTGATTCATGCACTTTTCAAAACTATTTTCTTGGCTGAGTAGCTTGGCATGAGTCTGACAATCAAGAAGAAAAAAGAAAAGCTAGAGTAATGTTAGCTGAAAGTTTCAAATTATTAAAAAGGAAGATTGAGAAAACTGCTACTGAAACAGTGCAACTTCGGACTATTTATCATTCTTGCCATTACAAGGGCTGAAAGGACAAGAGAGTTTTGCGGTATCTCCCATTTTCAGCCACCTCTTCTTTATTTTTCCCAGAAATTCGTCCAGTGGTTTAACTGTTGTTATAAATGTATCACAAACACGAGTAATCTTTTTTTTTTTTTTTTTTTTTTTTGCCAGCAGAGGGAAGTATTGCCTAAGTGTTCGCTTCAATGGACATTTTTTTCATTTCATAAGTGATGATCTTCTGAAGAGTGTGGCAACAAATTAGTAACTGTGAGAAGTTTATCAGCCAAGCAATTCAAGAAAGGAAAATCTGGTCAATACATGGTGAGAATGAAACAACCAGCAACAAACAAAACCAATAGATGTCAAAGAAAACCCATGCTGAAAGCACATGGGACAGGCCTGTTGCAAGGAACATCTTGATCTTAAGGGCTGCTAGTGTGGCACCTGCAACAAAGACCGTTCCATATTTAGCCAGGGTGGTTAATGATATGCTTGATTATCATTCTGTGCAAACTATATGAAGCAACACTTACATACTTCTTGCTGTTCTGAACAAGAGATGACTCTATTCTGTCATAATATGCCTGGACTGGTGATATGAGATTATCAAGTAAGTGAAGCAGAAAAATTAAAACGCTTAAAACTGTTAACTTGAAGAAAAACAAAACAAAAAGACCACCAGTCTTTCGTGTCTGATCCAGGCTATTGTAAGCATTCTAAATTGGGATAATGATGTATAATATTCGTCTTTCCCAGATGTTCAAGACAATTTCACCAACAAATAATTCATGTGCTTCCTACTCTTCCCATGCACAGTCTGTAAATTACATAGAAATTAGTTGTACTTCAGTCATATCCATAACTCACCGTGATGCTGCAGGTCTGAGCAGTGGGTAAGTGGGTCTCCATTTCGGATATCTTGTCGTCTAGTACGTCTGCGAATATCATATTTGAAAACTGTTAGTGACCTCAGTGGTCAGCATTCACATTTGCCATGACTGAAGAGCAACAAATGGAACATACATGTAATTACATAGGTCACAAGTGCACCTAAACAACACTAGGAAGGAAATCATATTGTTACTACTACGCATTCTCTATGCTTTTCAGAATCAGCCTTTACTCTTACAGGTAAAGTCTTCAGAAACTGGTAAGTACATGTCTCTTGTACTGAGCCTATGAAGTTTATTTTAACTGTGTTGGCAACGTTGATCACAGACAAATTCGTTATTTGATTCATAGATACAGAGACTGCTAAGGGATCAAAGCATATACAATACAGTTAAACACACATCAAAAAAGATGAAGAAGTTACAGTTTTTCTGAAAGTGCAATACTTTAAGTATCATGGCATCTTTTAGCTAAAATGAAATGTTAGGATGGATGGCTTTGAAAGAATGTTAGAGTGCTCTATTTTCTACAAAATCTAAATGAAGATACAGAGATCATTTCAGCCACTACAGATCTCACCAAAACATTTCTGATAAAACCTTTTCCAAAACTGTTGCGAATGGCTTAGAATAAACAGAGTAAAACACTTGGATAGGAAGATTTCAAACATCATTTATTCCATCTTATGTAGCTTGAGTCTGGGTTCTAGATTTTATTTCATGTCCAGTTAGCATAGTATATTCTTTCCCCAACTTATTTCCACTGGCTCTTATTGAAAACATACTGATCTGTGCTAAAATATGTTGAATTTCACAGAAGAAAGCTTTTTAATACAGTTTTATTTTGCATTTGTTTTTCCCTCTTTGTCTGCTCCTATTTTTATTTAAATAGCTATGACACAAAATTCCACTGAGAAAATCCTTTAATATAAAAAAAGAAAAAAAAAAGAACAAGGCAAACAAAGATGTGTTTCAAGTGTGAGCACTTTAGGAATCAGAGAAAGCCTGAGGGCTTGCAAAATTAGAGGAGAACAAAGAGGATTAGGCTGCTGAACAATGCTGTGATTTCAGATTATGGCATCCAGTAACAGATATGCAAAAGTTAAGTAGCCTTGTAAAAAGCTCTGTTGGTAACTCCCTTGTGACAACAGCTCCCCTTTTTAAAAAGCCATTGTTCTGCAGCTCAGAGACTATCTCTCTCCTTTTCACTAGCCCTGTTTGCAGACTCTCACCAACAGCCCAGCATCAGCACATACACTCACAGAGGCACCATCAACTGCACAGCTGCCTCCTCTTGGCTGAAAGATTTTAATCAATTTTTTCCACTGAAAACTACTGAAATGTTAAAACTGAAATTAGTTATGTGAAGTATGGCAAGAGTTTCCCGCCCCCCCCCCCCCCCAAATAATCAGAATGTGTGTTTTTTATATCTTCCTGAATAATAGCTTCTTTAAAATGGTCCTAGAGCATTAGCATGCTTTAATAAGAAGGAACCTTCTGTTGATTGATATATGATTCAAAAAATGTACTAATCCTAATTTCAGATATCGTCTTCGTATTACTCATTACCAATGAATAAAAATACACAGAAACATAAGGAACCATAAAATTTTGTTACTCCTTCCTAAATTTTGAAATGCAGCATATTTATAGGATACTATTTGTAGAAAAGAAGTCTGTGGAATGACTCATATTACTGTCAATGGAGTTTGGATGAGATGTTTAGTTAGAATCTCAGGAAAATGTCACACATATCACCATTGTATCAACACAATGATTTATGAAATATGACCCAGAGCACATCTGCATGGGGCAAATTTAAGTGGTCACACTAGAGGAGCTCTGAACTGTCATTTAGACTTGTAAAATACACAAAGAAAGAAAAGTAAATTAAAATCATGGCTCATAAAACTACTTTTAAAAACGAAGGAAAAAAAAATCAAAAAACAAAACCCCAAGTCAGCTATTTGTAAAGCATCTGTGCAATTGCCTCAGGACTCAACTTTCCCAATATTTCTGGAGCCTAAAATTACGAGGATTCATTATTAAGAAAAGGTTGACATTCAAGCTATTTCCAGTAATGCTGATTTTGTCATAGATGCATTCAAAGCTGGCTTGAGGCAGTGGGTACAGCAGATACCAGGTAAACAGAGGATCCTCTTGCCCCGTAACTCAGACCTTTATTCTGCTGCTTCTGCTACCAAGGGAAAAATGGGGGGAAGTAGTGGGGGGACAGCAGCTTTTTCTGTAGGCATTGTCAGGATCCAGCGTCCCAGGACTTAGTTTTTCCTTCATAGGGAACTCAAGAAGAGTAAATTCTGCACTGCAAGGTTTTCCTGTAGCTGTGCAAACCAGTTTATCCCCAGTAACTCTGCCCCTTAATCCCTATAAGAAGAACTTTACCCCTGATGGCAACATTGAGCTTGGTCTGCTGGTTAATAAATTGGAGAGATGGAAAAGGAAAAGACAAAGAGCCCTAGTTCTTCCATCAGTGTAAGCAGATGAATGACAGGATGATGTGCACTAGGGGTCTTGAGATGGGCTGGGAGTAGGAATGGGTGCTGGAATGCTGAGAAAGGGTGAGGTTCAAGGGTAAAGATTAGTAGGGAGGTAACAGAGTGATTCAGTGATAGTGACCTTACTGTCTCCTTCGACTCAGAGGCAGTACTCAACCACACTGATTTCTAACTCTTAAAACTTTCAGATCAAATCAATCTCTTAGACTCTCCTTGCAAACTTCCCTGTTCCCTCTCCTCTCTTTCTTCCTCCTCCTGTGGAGAAACTGCCGTGCTCCAACCACAAATTTGAATTTATCCCATGCAGCTGAGAAAATCTGACCAGCTCTTCTTTTGGAAGGGGTTCAGTTTCTACTTTTTAATTCTTTGCAACAGAATTCCACACAAAGCTTGTCTCAGATTAACTCTGTTTCCTGGTGCAAAAATAGAACCTGATGTTCCATAACCAGCTTTTTCTTTTGTCATCAGTATTTGTTTAGGATACACTGTAATGCAAGCCTTGAAATTCTAATCCCCTCCATCTGAAAAGTTTAGGACACAAATGTTACTTGCCACCCTTTACCACTTTTCATGTCCTGCAACAACCAATCCAAATCTGGAATTTGGAGTCCTGACATTCTCAACTGAGTGTTTGCTACCATTGATTTTATGTATATAAACCCTTATATATATATGCCTGTAGATTTCTTGTTTCTTCATTAAGTGCAAGATATTTGACATATTCAATTTAATGTGAGCACTTTTTTGTCATTTTAGCCAATTTATCATGGAAATTGCAACACTACACTAATGTCTGTTCCTATTTGCAAGTTATTATCTATTCAGTTATTCCTAAATTCTACTTCACTAGCTAAGAACTGTTCAGTAACTAGCTTATATACTTTAAGAGAAAGAATTTCAGGGATGAAGACAGGCAAAGAAAATATTATTTTAAATCTTCAGATCAAGCCACTAGGACTTGTAAAATTTTTATAAAAATGGTATTTTTCACTTGTAGAGTCTGTTTTCCCTTTCCCTTTGCATTGCAAACCCTTTATCATCAGTGCAGATTGAATGTAAAACAGTGGTTGTTCTGATCTGGTAACACTTAGACACACATCAACACTGCAAGTTATACTTCTGAATAATAAAAATGTTACATATCACTAAAAATAACTTTCCACTCATGTCCAAACACTTTGTAAATATTTCCTTTGTATTAGAATTCCTTAAAATTCAGGATAATTTACTTGGGCAAGTAGTCCTTTTATTTTAATATCAAGCCCTCACCTTGTGTTAAAGGATTTTTCTCTTTTTGCCATTTATTACTGAATATAAAGTTATTAATCCATTTCAGAGACAACTCTTTCCTGAATGTTTTCTTCCAACAGCTTTTCAAGCCAACCCAAGAAGTAGCAGTGTTCACTTGAAATCAACCAAGACTTCATATTGCTTGTAACTCACACAGCTATGTTTTCTTTGGAAGAGAAAGGGCTCCAGTTAACCATCCCATGAAAAATCTCCAAGGCCCTCCGGTCATATTGAGACCATCAGTTAAAACAAATAGTAAACCACGCAGACCTCTGTCCCTACCTCTTAGCAGTGGGGAAGTAACGTGAGCAAGATGAACCATCCCAGGCACAGTAAGGGTCTCTCGCAAGGCAACACTCAGCACATGCTTTTCCATACACATCACAGCGGTGTAAAGGAAGCTGTGAAACTCCAGTGGCTGAACCAATGTAGAGCTGTTGCTGTTATAAAAGTTTCAAAAAAAAAAAAAATTCAAATTAACAGGTCTTTGCTAAGAAAGCATAAAAAAGTTAAATAATAATATGTTAGGACGATTAAAAATACAATAAAGGATCATGATCCTGATGTACACTGAAGGAATGAGAAGAGACTTGTCCTCAGGATAAAAAATATCAAACAGGAAAAACTTTGGGTTTTGTATGAACCTCCCAGTGGCTTCTCTAAATAGAAAGAAAAATTAAAGTACTCTTCCATTCTTTCTTTTCTATTCAGATCCTTGCACTGGGAAAGCACTCTAGTCAGTGACAGAACACAAAGGAGAATATGCTTTTGAATTTGAAGAAAAATAAAATTAACATAAATTTCCTATATGTGACCTTGATTTGTGTATGTGTGGAGGGAACATAAAGTAAATTATTTCAGACTGATGCTAAGATATTTCAGCTTGGAAGTGCTGCTATGCACACACTCCTTTGTATGCTTGATAATTCTGATTCTTCATACTCTTTTCTACAGGTGACATACTCTAATTGAAACATATCTTTAATGAGGGGAGATGACTTTATTTTATATAAAAAACATTGTTGAGTAAAAGATATAGTTCAAATGCAGAGAGAAGCCACGAAGTAAAGAAAAAAAAGATGTGAACAAAATGAACTACAGCTTTGTATGACATCACAATAGAATATCTTGTCTCTCTCAATTTCCTCTTGGTATCAAATTCATGTGGTCCATTCGGGAAGCTGGTCCCCAGAGGGACACAAGGAAACTGAACTACTGATCCCACGTGAAAGTCCAAACAGAGATATTTCAGTTTAGCACTAATTCACAAAGAAAACAAGTATGAGTGTAGTAAGTAAATGCAGTTCCCTCTGAGATTGAAAACCAGAGGGAAACAAAATAAATAGACAAACAAAAATTAAATGGCATAATCCTTCTGTTTTGGAAACACTGACAGTTTGCTATCAAAAGCTTAAACTTTGTCGCACAGCACCCATGATGGAGCAATTAAGAAATTCCTGTTTAAGGTCTCACTCCAAGCAGTCCCATCAAGAAAATACACATCTGTACTTATTTTTCTTTCTTAGAAAACATAAGGCTGACATGAAAAATAGGATTTCAAGAAATATTACAAAATTTCTTCATCTCCTGTATTGTGATATGCCAGATGGACCATTTCCAGGGAACTCAGGGATGGAAGGTAGCCGAGGTCTCCTACCAACTGGAAATGATGAGCAATGGATACCAGGAGACAGCAAAACCAAAAACACTCATAAAAGGTGTTGCCTTAACTTCTTTCAGAGACAGCAGCTTTGCAGTTTATACATATTAATTGTTAACAGAAACATCCCATGCATTTATATAAACATCAGTATTTTCTCAAGGGAAACATGACAAGGAAAGCACCCAAAGGAAAATTCACAGGTAAACGGAAAACTAAGCGCTTTCTAAGCAGCTGATTCCAACTATTACAGTGCCATAGCTGGGTTGTAAAACTGCATTCTCTGGGCAAAAATCTCTAAGCACACAGAGCTCTACACAAAGCCTTAACTGTTCATCCCAGTACCCAGTTAGGGATGTATCCTTGAGAAGCAGATGACAGGCAGCAGACATGATAAGCTGCTTCTCTCTAACTTAAGTCACTTAATCAAGTACCCAGCTCAGGGGTATGTTTTGCAGTAAAAAGAGCAGCAATTCAAATCTTAGGTGACCTAACCATTTCTCATGGGATGCCTTTTCTCTTTGCTGATTATGGAGGCAGCATAGGTCAAATTAGAGTTTCAGTTAAGTACCTTAAATGTCCAGATGGCATTGATCTGAGTCCTATGTAATTGGGGAATTAATATCTATATAAGCATGTAGCAATGTGTGGTGCAACTAAGGTAAAAATCAACCCAGAGAATGCACGTGGGAAAATAAAGAAGAATGGTGTAAAGGTTTCCTACAGACCTCTGTAACTAATTTCATTTTGTCAAAAACCCCTCCCTGACTTCTAACAAATGTCTTTAGAATTAAAGAATGACCAGAAACACATAAGAAAAAAAAATGAGGCCAAAATAGGGTTACTTAAAGATTCTATTCATTGTAGATAAGTTCATAAAGTTCAGCCAGTGAGCTACAGCGCGTGTTTCAGGTGCTGCACAGCCTGAAGGCTGCTGCCCTGTTTGCTGATCTTCTGATCTTCATGGTTTTAGACTCCAGCTGGTGATTATTATTCTGGACACTAATAATATATAAATCCAGGAAGTATGAAATTCAGAAAATAGTAATAGAATGATTTGCACCAATGATCTGACCTTACTTTGCCATACACAGTCAAACTGCCTTTTGGGCAAAGAGCTTCTCCCAACAGATTTTCAATTTAATAAATCAGCTGATTATCAAATCAGTGGAGAGTAAAAAAAAAAAAAATTTAAAAAAAAAAATTATCCTCTAAAATTCTTCCAGAAGTATTAGAACTCCAGAAAAGCTGAGGAGACTAATGTTTTAAGCAATCCAGTGGTTTCTGTTTGCCCCACAGTGCTGCCCAAAATGCAG